GAATGCTATATATTGCTACTTATGAAATATGCACAAGCTTAGTTCAAGGTTTATCTAATTCGAATCGCAGAAGTACACCCAATTTCAAGATATCAATACGATGATTTAAGAAAACTGTGAATGTATGCGAATGCTTAAGAATGGATAGGAATGTGTGAGAATACCTAGGATTGATTGAAGGGAATGGCTCGGAATGGATCGAAATGCATAGGAATGCCTTGGAATGGCTCGGAATGTCCAAATAGTTTTTTCCCCTTGAGATAGAATACTATAGGTGCAGAGGTATGGATTACTATAGGCTTAGTGGGATTGTATTGAAATCGGTACGAAATTTAGCCTACGAAACCTTTTTTGAAAGCAGAAGAAAAAAGTATGATACGAAACCATATTCATACGAAACTTTTTCTAGCAGTAAAAAAGAAGTAGTTTTGTACGAAACCATTTTCATACGGAACTTTACAAAGGTTTCGATTTCGTTACACAATTCGGAACCTTTTTAAAGTTCCGTATGGTACCTTTTCTCAATGTACGAGATAGGGAATCTCGAATTTTGAGTCAGCTGCATGCAGTCGAAATAAGGTCTAATGGTTTAATTTGAACGACAATCAACTCCTGACATCCGAATTAACTATTTGGAAAGTAAAAGATTCACTTTTTGGAGGGGGCCGATCTCACGGCTTATCGACTCGAGGGTGTGGGTGTCGGTGTGGGTGTGGGTACAGGTGTGGATGTGGCGTGTGGATCCAAGTCTTCTTTTGATCAACGCATCGACACCCACACACATGTCCACACATCCACACCCACCCACAGTGCCCACACCCATACTCACCCACAACCACTCACACCCACATCTGATCACCAGAAATATCACTGTAAGTACTAATAAGCACGAAAAATAATAAGTGAGCTACCTGTGACATCATTCTCCAGAAGGAGAAATAAAGGAAACTTGAATAAAAGGTATTTACTTATTTAGCGCTATCTGTTATTATTCAATATTGAATTTTTGTACTCGATGTTTTCCAAAATCGACGGCATAGAGATTGCCATGTCGATCAAATGACAAACCGATGGGCCTATTCAGTTGATTCGATTGTCCTCCTTCACCGTGTCCACCAACAATGACGCTTTCCTGTCTGGCTCCTTTGGGCCAACGCATGATTCGATTATTGCCACCATCAGCCACATAGACAGTGCCTAATTGATCGACAACGACTCCTTGAGGATATGACAATTGTGTAAGACCATTTTCTTCTCCTTGACCACCATCACGACAATGCCTTGTTTTGCACCTTTCCTCCATTTCATCACACAATGATTTCTCCATTCAGATACATAGACTGATTGATCTCGATCGACGAATACGTATTGTGGTCTATCGAGTTTATTGAGACGATTTCCACTTCCATTGCCACCTGCAACCACTGTTCATTTCGATTCTCCTCTTCGATATCATCTCACTTCATGTTTTCCATAGTCAACGACATAGAGAGATCCATTCTCGTCCATTGTCAAACCCCAACAAGCGATGTTGGATATGATTGTTTCTCCACTTGTCCCATTTCGGCGAGACCATCGAACCACTGTTCTATTCGAATTATCGCATATGATGAGACTATCTGTCTCTTTGTCGACAATCACATTCAATGGATCAGACAAATGATGAATCCCACTTCCTTGCTCATTTTCATCGGCAACCACTTGTCCACTCGTTGCTCCCCATTTCTATTCCATAATACGATGATTGCCTGTATAAGCGACATAGATTGTTTGTTCATCATCAACAAACAAATCCAATGGGAATGAGAGTTGATTGATTCCATTGCCATCTGCATTTCCTCCAGCTACTGTAATCCCATTTTTTGTTGCCATCGAGCATTTGGATGAATATCGATGACAGCTGTTCGTAGAGGAAATAGTTGTAATGCTGAAATTGAATTATTATTTCGAAATCTACCCATACCCACGAAAAAGGGTGTGGGTGTGGATGTGGGTGGGTGTGGGTGGTGGTGTGTGGGTGTGGGTATGGGTGTGGGTGGTG